GCAGAAGTTAAGACCAATCTGAGCAAGAGCAAGATGCTGTCTCTATGAAATATAGAAAAACAATTAGCCAGGCATAGTGTTGGAGGACTGTGGCCCCAGCTACTTAGGAGGCTGAGGCAAGAGAATTGCTCAAACCCAGGAGTTGGAAGCCACAATGAGCTGTGATGATACCACTGCATTCCAGCCTGGGTAACACAGTGAGACCCCATCATTTAAAAAAATAAAAATTAAGCCAGGTGTGGTGGCTCATATCTATAATCCCAGCACTTGGAAGGCCAAGGCATGTGGATTGCCTGAGCTCACAGGTTTGAGACCAGCCTTAGCCAAAGCGAGACCTTGTCTCTTGAAAAAAGAAAAAAAATTAGAATTTTAGAAACTTGCATCTACCTCTGTGGGCTTGATTAGCTTCCTGTTAGTTAAAAACTTTTTTGTTTAGCAGGGCTTGCTGGTACGTGGGTGAAAGCTAGAGTAAGCTGGCATCCCCCCTGAAATCTTGAGTGGGTTACAGCCCTGATTTCAGCTCCCCAGCTGCAAGACATGCCTTTGATGGCGAAGAGGGGTTGGAATGTCCAGCAGAATAGATAAAATAGCCTGGGAGGTATCTAGGTAGAGATTGACAACTTAGAAACAAGAATATAAATAATATTAGAAAGTAATTGATAATTTTCCTTGCAGATACCCTGCAGTTGCAGGCATCTTGACCTGAAGGGTGTAACTTTCCTTCATTAAATTTCCTCCAAAATATTCTTTGATTTGTAACTTATTACTCCCCTGTCCTTCAGCCTGATAACGTCCCTAAGTAAAGAACTGCCTGTTTAATTGGAGCATGAAGCTGTTACCTCTTTACTTTTTGCCTTATAAAAGTAATGCCCCCAATTTTCTTTTCTTTTTTTTTTTTTTGAGATAGAGTCTCACTGTGTTGCCTTTGGTAGAGTGCTATGGCATCACAGCTCACAGCAACCTCGAATTTTTGGGTTTCACCGATTCTCTTGCCTCAGCCTCCCAAGTAGCTGTGCCTACAGGCACCCGCCACAATGCCTGGCTATTTTTTGGTTGTAGTTGTCATTGTTTGGCGGTCCCAGGTTGGATTTGAACCCGACAGCTCCAGTGTATGTGGCTTGGGCTCTAACCGCTGAGTTACAGGCCCTGAGCCATGCCCCCAGTTTTCTAATACCCTTAAGTACTAGGCTCAGGACAATACCTGTTAGCCTTGAGATGGGCTGATAATGGTGGTGTTGTTCACAGGTCAGAACACTATGTGTGTGTGTGTGAATTTTGCAGCCTTTCTCTCTCTTTGTCTGCCAGACCCTGGGTGGGGAAGGGGGTAAGGTCCCTGTGCAGGGGGACCATCAGTTTGCTGCGTTGTGACTCAGTTCCTGGTTTGTAACACTGGTATGCATCCATAGTCCCAGCTGCTTGGGAGGCTGAGGCAAGAGGATCCCTTGAGCCTGCGAGTTCAGGTTGCTATGAGCTATGATGATGCCATTGCACTGTATCGTGGGTGACAGAGTGAGAGACTGTCTCAGGGGGAAAAAAAAGACTTCTTGTGAGACTGGCGGTGATATCAAAAATGTGAATTTTGAGATTATGTGATGAAATGTGTCTGCATTTGGAAGATCTCCGTATCTCGTTGAAACAATATTTCCCAAATGATTGATAAATGTTACAAAATCATGCATGAGTAAAAGATCCAAAGTGCAAAAAAGAGGGAAAAAAGTACAAGTTAGACCAATTAATTTTAAGGTTTAACAAAAGAATATAAAATATCATTGATTTTGTTTCAGATTCCACCTTGTAGCTAACCTGTGAAAAAAATACTTGTCAAGATTTAGTAGAATATCAAGGAAGAATATACATAGTTTTCTGAAAAGACTATTAAAATATTCTCCCTCTGGGCTCGGCGCCTGTGGCTAAAGGGGCTAAGGCGCCAGCCACATACACCTAAGGTGGCGGGTTCGAATCCCCAGCCTGGCCCGCCAAATAACAATGATGGCTGCAACCAAAAAATGGCTGGGCGTTGTGGCGGGTGCCTGTGGTCCCAGCTACTTGGGAGGCTGAGGCAGGAGACTCACTTGAGCCCAGGAGTTGGAGGTTGCTGTGAGCGTGATGCCATGGCACTCTACCCAGGGGGATAGCTTGAGGCTCCGTCTCAAAAAAAAAAAAAAAAAATTTCTCCCTCTGGGGCAGTGCCTGTGTCTGAGTGAGTAGGGCGCTGGCCCCATATACCAAGGGTGGTGGGTTCAAACCCGTCCCCGGCCAAATTGCAACAAAAGAATAGCCAGGCATTGTGGTGGGCACCTATAGTCCCACCTACTCAGGAAGCTGAGGCAAGAGAATCACCTAAGCCCAACAGCTGGAGGTTGCTGTGAGCTGTGATGCCACAGCATTCTACAGAGGGTGACAAAGTGAGACTCTGTCTCTAAAAAGAAAAAAAAATATATTCTCCCTCTGCATACTTTTTCTTTGTGTATTTCAGCCAGAACAACATATTGCAACATATTGAAAATAGAAGCAGATAGAGAATCCAGCTATGTTCTAGTAAACCAGAATTAATGGAATTTGCAAAAAGGTCAAATAATGCTACTGTTTTCTTTATTTTTTATTTTGGAAAATAAATAATTTTTCATTAAATAGGTTTTTTTGTTGTTACTGTGTAATGGTTATGTTTAAATGAATTAATAAATATTTAAACTTGAATTTCAATTTCCAGTATAGTAACTAGCAATAGGTACTATATATAACTAATATAAACTTAGGCTCTTAGGGGCAATAAAGGTTTTTTTTTTTTTTTTTTTTGAGACAGAGCCTCACTATGTCACCCACAGTAGAGTGCTGTGGCATCACGGCTCACAACAACCTCAAACTCTTTGGCTTAAGTGATTCTCTTACCTCAGCCTCCCAAGTAGCTGGGACCACAGGTGCCTGCCACAACGCCCGGCTATTTTTCTGTTGCAGTTGTCATTGCTGTTTAGCAGGCCCAGGCTGGGTTCGAACCTGCCAGCCTTGGTGCATGTGGCCAGTGCCCTACCCACTAAGCCATGGGTGGCCACCCAGGGTCAATAATTTTTAAAGATATAAAAGCATCCTGATAACAAAAATTTTAAGAACTGGTATTCTAAGCTATCTGTCATAATGATTTAAACTATAGAATAAAAGATCAAAAGGTATAATAGTACCATATTATTCACTATCAAAAAGTATAGCTCAGACTAAAAAAGTGTAGATTAATAGTTTTATTTTTATGTTTGAAAATTTTAGCATTTTGCATACTTATCTATTTTAATATTTCTGTTTTTGGTTGGACATGCTTAGAGGACTTATCTTTTCCCTATAGCTTAGAATAGTATGCTTTTGAGGGTAGAGTTGGTTTCATGGTGTAATGTATTAGTAACATTCATTTTTCTTATGGGTTCTTATTTATTTATTTATTTATAGTTAGATTCTCACTTTGTTGCCCTTGGTAGGGTGCGTTGGCATCTTAGCTCACAGCAACCTCAGTCTCTTGGGCTCGAGTAGTCCTCTTGCCTCAGCCTCCTGAGTAGCTGGTATTGTAGGTGGCTGCCACAATGCCTGGTTATTTTTAGAGATGGGGTCTTGTTCTTGTTCAGTCTGATCTCAGTCTCCTGAGCTCAGGAAGTCCACTTGCCTCAACTTCCCAGAGTAGTAGGATTACAGGTGTGAGCCACCACTCCCAGCCTCTTAACCAGCCTCTTGATGGATTCTTTTTAAACTAAGTCATTTGCTGAGAACAATGTTAGAATTTCAGGCATATAAATTTTTATTTATACCCTTCTGTAGATAGTATTGCTCCTGTCTTTACAGATTGGGGAAAGATGAGGCTCGGGAAGGATATGACTTTACTGAAGTTTTTTGTTTTGTTTTGTTTTAATGCAATTTTTTTTTTTTTTGGCTGGGCCTGGGTGTGAACCCACCACCTCGAGCATATGGTGTTGGTGCCCTACTCTTTTGAGCCACAGGCGCTGCCCTATTAAAGTTTTGAGTTTCTTTAAAGTCCTCTATCTTTGTGCTGCCTCCATTAACCATAATATTTGGTCATGAGCATTGGAAGTAATAGGGTTGTAGATGCTAGGCTATTGAAATGTAACAAAAATCCATGCTTGGCTCCTATAGTTCAGCGGCTAGGGCGGCGGCCACATACACTGGGGCTGGCGGGTTTGAACCCAGTCTGGGTCTGCCAAACAACAATGACAACTACAACAAAAAAATAGCTAGTGGTGGTGGTGTGCACCTGTAGTCCCAGCTACTTGGGAGGCTGAGGCAAGAGAATCGCTTGAGCCCAACAGTTTGAGGTTGCTGTGAGCTATGTTGCCACAGGACTCTACTAAGGGTGATACAGTGAGACTCCATCTCAAAAAAAAAGAAAAAGAAAAAAATCCATGTATGAAGATAATGTAAAATGAATTTGAAATAATAATCTGAATCTGATATTCATTAGTTTCTCTTTTTCTGGTATACACAAATTCTAATTGATCAAAAAAGGAAAACTGTCACCACTTAGGACCCTTTTCACTGTTTGATAATTTTCCCTGTCATAAGTTCTGGCCTACTCTCACAATTTGCCCTCTTTGTTTCAGGTGCCCACCAGCTGACTTCTCCCCCTTCTCAGTCAGAGTCTCTGCTGGCCATGTTTGATCCCCTGTCTTCACATGAAGGTAAACTAATGAAGTGAACTTTTGAGTCTGTAACAAAGGCATTTTGTTAATACCTTTGTTGGATTAAATGTGTCTCAGCTACAATTTTTTTTTTTTCCAGGAGCTTCTGCTGTGGTTAGGCCAAAGGTTCACTATGCTAGGCCATCACATCCACCACCAGATCCCCCAATCCTGGAAGGTGCTGTGGGAGGAAATGAAGCCAGGTTGCCAAACTTTGCTTCCCATGTTTTAACTCCAGCTGAAATGGAGGCATTTAAACAAAGGCATTCTTACCCTGAGAGATTAGTACGAAGCAGGAGTTCTGATATTGTATCTTCTGTCCGGCGACCCATGAGTGATCCCAGCTGGAATCGACGTCCAGGGAATGAAGAGCGAGACCTCCCTCCATCTGCAGCCATTGGTGCTACTTCTTTGGTGGCTGCACCGCACTCATCATCTTCATCTCCGAGTAAGGACTCCTCAAGAGGAGAGGTATGGAACATAGGCCATGTAGAAAAATTTGCCAGTTATGGTCAGCTTTAGTGTTCTTTTTGCCTGGTTCTATGATAGCTGAGATTAACATAGAATGTAATATCTAGGATTAAAGATGATTTGTTGGCTGGGCATGATGGCTTATGCCTATAATCCTTACCATTTTGAGAGGCTGAGGTGAGAGGCTAGCTTGAGGCCAGGAGTTTGAGACCAGCCTGGGCAATATAGTGAGACCTGGTGTTTACTAAAAATTTACCTTAAAAAAAAATTAGCTGGACATGGTGGTGAACATCTGTGGTCCTAGCTGCTTAGAAGGTTGAGGCAGGAGGATTGCTTGAGCCTATAAGTTGGAGGCTGCTTATAAGATAATGTGCTTATGGACTCTAGTCTGGGCAACAGAGTGAGACACTGTCAATTAATGAATCACTTGTCAGTCTAGTATGCCCACTACCATAACCCATAGGAAATCTGTACCACTTTGGTTGTATGGTAGTATTCTTTTTCACTTTTATGACAGTTTAGCTTTTCTCCCAGCAATTTTGTATCTGATGATTTGGTAATTGAGATGGTTAGATGAAGTATTATTTTTTGTTTTGCAACATTGATAAAATTACAAAAAAGTTGTAAGTACAGTAAAAGAATCCTCCTTTTGGCTTCTTTGCCTACTTGCTCTAGCAATGGAGGCTTATTCACTGTCTGTGGTGAATGTATTCAGCTTTGTAAGACTCTGAAAGCCTGTCTTTTCCTCAGTAAATTTTGTTTCGTGTTTGCCTTACCAAAAACAAAACCACTTGTTTTCCATTTGAGAGAGCATGTTGCCAACATGATGCTCCATCACCTCTGAATACTTTACTGTAAGTTTCCCACAAACTGGTACATTCTCCTTCACATTGCAGCCATCAGCATCAGCAAAGCATTGATACACCACTAACTACCGTGTAATTCCCACACCCCATGCAGGCGTCCCTGTTGTTCCCAGAACATTCTTTATAATAAAGGATCCCATTTAGAATCACAGCTGCTTTTAGCTGTCATATTGTTTTAGTTTCTTTTATTCTAGCACAGTTCTGTAGTTTGTATGACCATATCACTCTGGCAATTTACAGACCACTTATGTCCTAGAATGTCAATTTGGGTTTTTTGATGTTTTCTGATGATTAGATTCAGGTTATTTATCTATGGTAGGAAATCACTAAAATGACATTGTTCTTTTCACTGCATTCTCTCAGGTACCACACAATTTTAATTTGTCCTGTCATTGTGGTGGTCATTTGGATCATTTGATGAAGGTGGTGTCATCTAGGGTTGGCCACTATAAAGTTACTTTTCCCCCTTTTCCCCTTTATAATTAATAAGTATTTTGTACAGAGGGGTACTTTGAAAATAGGTAACTATACTATTCTTCATCAAATTTTTAACTCATCTGCTTATTAATTAATTACACCTACGGTCTCATGGTCTTCTATTATAGTCAGTGGAGTTGGTATTATCATTTATTTTGAAGCCCAGTTTTTCCGAATTCGGCCAGTGGGAGTCCGTCAAGCTGCTTCTGAGTTCTTTTGACATGCTGCTATTATTCTTTGAGAATTTCTTTGCTTTCTGGCACAAGATGTTATAAGCTTATATTCTACTTTGTCTGCCCCAGTCCTGGAATCAACCATTTCTCTAAGGAGCCCTTGTTCCTTTGAAAAATGGTTTTTAGAGATTAGATACAGCATGCATTGCTGTAGGCCTTTTGCTGCTTCCGGGACTTCTCAGGGAGTGTGTGTGTGTGTGTGTGTTCACGCACGCGTGCATTTACCAGTGCATTTATTTCTATTTCTCTTTCTATAAATAGAATCCTGAGCTCCATGCTAATACTTTCAATTCTCGTCCAGAAACAATAGAATTTGTTTCATCTTTCTTCCTTTCTATATTTGTAACTCCTTTCTCTTAACATGAGAAATCTGCTTTCACTATTCTTTGTGTATGTACTTATTTGATTGGTCCCCCTGTATGTAATCAATTTCTCATCCCCATTCCCAACTCCTCTCTAGCATAGATGCCCTCATCTCTCTGCTAGGGTTCTGATACCTTATTCACATGGATGCCCTTACAGAGGATATTTTTAGTACCAGTTTTATAGATGAAAAAATGGAAATTAAGTGATTTGTCCATGGACATTTGATAGGCTAATAAGGGAATTACAGTCTCTGCCTTTTGACATGTCTTAATGATAACTCAGTATAATTGGTGATCAAGAAATGATCTAAGTCTCAGCTGTCCCATATATAGGCTGTGTAACTTGGAGGAAGATGAGAGATAACTTTTTTCAGTTTCATATTTCTCATCTATATGAAGGGCTTAATAATAGGAGCTATCTCCTAAGGCTTCTGTGAGGATGAAATGAGATAACACATACCCTTATGCACAGTATTTGGCACATAGTGCACATTCGGCTTTATTATTACTACTACTACTAATATCTGTACTACCCTTCTAGAGTTTATTTGCACTGCATTTACTTATTCTGTAAGTACTTATTGATTGCTTACTGTATACCAGTCTCTGTATTAAACTTTGGCTTACTAACGTAATTAGTAGTGCTTGCCCTCAAGCAGGTAACAGTCCTGTGCTTAAAAGGTATACTTCCATGTTCCAACAGTTGCCTACATGGCAATAAGAACAGTTTTGTTTTAAGGCAAACAAGACTGGTTTTTGTATTTCACAGACTTCCGAAATCCTTTTCATAGTAATTTATCCTGCTACCAAACTCCAAATAAAGCATCCAACTTTTTCTACAGACTGAAGAACGCAAAGATAGCGATGATGAGAAATCAGACAGGAACAGACCTTGGTGGAGAAAACGTTTTGTTTCAGCCATGCCTAAAGGTAATTTTATAAAACATTAGAATGCTATAATTATTAGCAACAAGAAGCAAAGCCCTAAAATCTCTTTCAGAGAGCCAGTATGTCAACTCTTCGGTGAGACTTGCTGGGCCTAAGTTTCTAGTTGTTTTTGAGGGTGTAGAAAATGGTTTTACTCATATAAATGTTGAGGCAGAGCTTTAGAAATGTTCTTGTTGGCTTGGCACCTATAGCTCAACCGGCTAAGGTGCCAGCCATGTACACCTAAGGTGGCGGGTTCAAATCCCCAGCCTGGACCCTCCAAACAACAATGACGGCTGCAACCAAAAAATAGCCGGGCGTTGTGGCGGGCGCCTGTGGTCCCAGCTACTTGGGAGGCGGAGGCAGGAGATTCGCTTGAGCCCAGGAGTTGGAGGTTGCTGTGAGCTGTAATGCCACGGCACTCTACCCAGGGGGACAGCTTGAGGCTCTGTCTCAAAAAAAAAAAAAAGAAATGTTCTTGTTCTTTGCAGAAAGAGGTAGTGATTTCATAAATGGAAGTCGTGCTGGTCAACTGTTGTTTAAATATCATATACTGTTGAAGTTAACCATACAACTTTTGACATGAATTGCTATTAATGATTGCAGGAAAATGGGATGCTATTGGTAATTAAACATTCCCCCTGAATTGTTAATGTAATGGAATAAATTTAAGCTTTTTGTGTCTATATTCATTGAGAACGTTTATACCCTTAATATTAGTGTTTATTTTGGAAGGTAATTGTATAAAATTGTTTGCTTTTTTGGTGAATAGCCTAGCATCATTTGGGTTGGCAGAATCCTCTCTTCCTGAAAGGAAAGATCATCCAGGAGTAAAGCTGGGCACTTCATCGAAAGGCCTCATCTCAGCACTGTGGCACTCAGGAACTGAGGAGAACTGCTTTCATGCCATACTCAAGCCCACTTGAGGAGGAGAGATGAGGCTAGGAGTTTTCAATGTGTTGTCTTTGAGCAGAGGTTAAGAAGCAGTGGTTTTGATTTAGTTTCTAATGGATTCCTGTTAAATCATTTTTCCTAAAGCAGATGACTCCAAAGCAGATTCTGAGAGCTCCTTTTAAGAAACTTCAATGCTATTTTAAGAACGATTATCAGTTGGCACTTGGGATTTTTTAGCTTTTAAACTTTTCAACTTCCTTTCACTTAGAAATGTTGGCACACCAGTTAACTTCCAAGTAGTGCAGTATTTTATATGTCACACTACTGACTTTATTTAATTTCCAGCTCCTATACCATTTAGAAAGAAAGAAAAACAAGAAAAAGACAAAGATGATCTGGGGCCTGACAGATTCTCAACACTCACAGGTTTGTAGACCCATGGACTTCCTGGCTCCTTCATTCCCAGAGCACATATTTCATAACACTTTTTCTTGGGTGCCATAAGCGTTGCCTTTTTTAGAAGAGTGTGTCTGTGTGTGTATAGTGGGGAGTATGTTCTTCATAGCTCTGTGGTTTCCAATTGGCAGCCACAGTGAATCTCAGTGTGCTCTTCCTGCAGACTGCTACCACCATCATCATCCTCATTATCATAACTTCCATTTATGATGAGGCCCCTGATGCTGAGCCTCTAGGCATACCCTACAACTCGACATCTAGTGGGATGATGACACAGTGCCTTTTAGAAAAGTGTGGTGACGGTTTTAGTGCTGTGCATGCTATATCTTTGAATCATTGAATAGTTTTCTTTAATATTAATTATAGAATTCTAAATTTATTTTCATCTATAGTTCTTGATTATTTAGGATCACAAAGAAATTCTGTTTTACCTAATGATTTCCTTTTTTGTGATAAAGTGTTCAAATGATATCATAAATGCCAACTATCATAATATATATAAGTTTTAAAAACTTTACTGATTTTTTACAGCTTGAACCATTTTAACATTGCTGTCTGACTCATGGAAAATAAAGCTAGGGGTCGAGTTCTTACCTTATTCAGCATTTGTATTTCTGCAGCTTCTTTCTGGGCACATTATGAAGGAGCACCCTAAAAGTTTAAGAGGTAGTGTTCATGACACAACCTTGGGTTTGATAGCTGTGTATTGTTTCCAGTGACTAGAGTATTTAAAGGGAAGTTCATTTCTCACCTCTCCTCTTTTTCTCTTATCCTGATTATAAATTATGTTATCCTACTATCCTACTAAATGAATGAACTTTTTTTTTTTGGATCAAAAAGTGGGGTAGGTTTCAAAAGAACATCCTCCTCAAAGAATTCAGCATAGTATAGGTAGAATCCCATTTTAACACATATGATTTTAATGTCTAGTTAAATATATATTTATATTACATTTAAACATATAAATATATATTTAGGTATATTTCCATGTCCTAGCATATATATTCTTGACTTATTTGATATGATAACTTCCTTGGAATAAAAGGTTTTGAACAGTAGTGCTCATAGGCCATGGTTCCCTGCAGAGAGCAGCCAGGTCTGTCCTATTCAGCCAATATTTGTTGACCATCTGACTCATGCCAGGCCCTGTGCTAAGCATTATACATATTAAGCCAAATCATGCATGACCTCTATTCATCAGGGCCTTCTGGTCTAATTGGTAAAATTTAGAATGACATTGTCCTTCGGGCAAGATATTTATGTATCCTTACCACGTTTCTAATGTTAGAAGAACACCAGTGTTTACAAAGTGAATTAGTTTTAATGAAGTCTCATGTTTTTAAAATGTTGAATTAATAACTTGAGGCAAGTTATGTTTTCTCCTTGTATCTTTGAATAGTATATTTCTCTTGCTTCTTGGTGCTAGGACTAGAAGCTAAGTAGTAGTTAAGCCGTTAAGTATTTTTCTTAAATTTTTTTTCTAAAGTAACCCATTTTCTTTGAGTGTGATTTAAGCAATTTAGCTTCCCTACTGGTTTAGAAATTTCTACTCAGTCCTAATTAATGAATTGAAAAGTTACCATTAAATAAATTTTTAAATGATATGAAAGGAAAAAAAATTTTTTTTGAGGCAGTCTCACTTTATCACCCTTGGTAAAGTGCTATGCCATCACGCTCACAGCAACCTCAAACTGTTGGGCTCAAGTGATTCTTTTGCCTCAGCCTCCCAAGTAGCTGGGATTACAAGTGACCACCACAACACCAGGCTATTTTTTAGAGATGAGGTCTTGCTGTGGCTCAGGCTGGTCTCAAACCTGTGAGCTCAGGCAATTCACCGGTCTTGGCCTCCCAAGTACTGGGATTACATGCGTGAGCCAACAC